TTCTGAGGGTCTACAAGGAAGGGAGGGAATAAGACTCCAGCGACTGTTTTTGCTTGCGGCTATCCCCTTTTCACTTTGACCCACAAATGGCGAGCGTGTGAACGTGTAGTCAGATAGTACGCGGTTGTCCAGGAACGGAATTCGTCAACCCTATAAAGCTGATGCGCTTTCGCCGCCACACAGTCCATATCTACCACTGGGAAATTGGTAGGTCATTCAACCACCTCATGAACCTCCACCAATGAAGTAAGGTGTGGCAGTAGAAAGAGGAAGGGGAACAATCAGCTCCACAATTAAAAGCGCTGCGCGGGACACTACCTGACCTCTCAAGTTTCCGCATCAATGACGTTGTGTGAGTTGGAATAAGAGGGCGTTCCAACGAATCCGGAATGGCATCCAGTTTCTAGCCCTCAAGTAGTGGAATCAAGCTTATTTTTGAATCAAGGAATCGCCCTCATATTCTTCAGACATTCGGCAATTACCCTACATCAATACGATTGGACGTTTTGTGAGCCATTCATTTAAGGTCTCCAGTTGAAAAGCATGAACACTTCCATCTAACGATGTTTTGAGCGTTCGCGAACTAAACTGGGGAAAATTCAATTTAAGCTTAGCTATGATCAGTCCAACTTGACCGAATATGAAGCTCTGCTTGAAGACATCCAATCATGGTGTGGATGCAACGCATGACAATCTACCGCCTTTTGCTAATCGAGTTGTTGTTCCTTGTCACGCTAGATTCCTGTCAATCCTTATCACGTGGATTCGTCAACAGGAAAACCTCCTTCAGTTGGTGATCTGATAATCACTAACAGATGAGGGGTAGTCTATCGATGCCCAAATGCCCGTAAGTAGCTACCCTCAACCTTGAGCCGATGAACTCAACAAATTTTGATCCTGGCTTAGCTAACTGCCAAGTTAAGTGTGCTGAAAGTTAATTGATGCAATTAACTGAGTAAGCCCGCCACACGTTACTACTCAAAATCAAGAGACTCAAACCTTCATTGTAACACTGTAACATTCACTACCAAAAGCCTACTGCTATATTCGCCGCCTACTTCCCAACACAGCAGTGACAGAGTCCAGTCACAAACGACTTTCTCAAGTGGTTGCAGATTTCAGCGTGTGCGTATGGGTAGGATGGTACTTTTTCATAGCCTCCGAGTGATAGTTTTTCGTACTCTGAGGTAAAGCTGTCCACTCGCCAGTCTGTTTGCTTGATTGAGTTAAAAGTGTCTTCGTGCCGCAACATAAATAAATCAGACGAAAGGCGCTGCATACACACACACACGTGTAAAATGGAAGTGGGGAAAGAAGGATCCGAGATGAATGAGCAAACTATGCACACCTCTGCTCATTTTTGACCCCACCAACACTCGCTCTCTCGCACCTCAACCTTCTCTAAGGCGGTCCCAACACGAGAAGCTGAGAAAGGTACCATTAGACGTGTTGTGTTCAGCCAGAGGGTGGACGTGGGTCAATTTGTCCGCCTAAGTTGAAATTGAAATACGCTTGTCGTTTGAAAGATGGGAACGGTGCGGAATGCGGTTGGAGCACAATCGATAAATTGACACGAACTCTTTAAGAAGGGGACAGAATCCCTCTGTAAAAGCGGGAACTTTCGTTCATGGAATTGGATATGTTGTCTGTTGCACTTTCCTTTAGTTACATATACCAAGATTAAGCCGTATGTAACGAACACCAAATTTTGTATTATTTAACACTTCATTTGGAGACTCAGCTTCTCCTTATATGCCTTCCCCCAAAATGATGAGGTTAGACAAACTAAGTGAAAAATAAACTGCATCAGAATGAAGTCCATTCCTATATGCACAGTACTGCATGGGCCTTGACGGTCTCTAGTAATTCGCCTATTAAAAAATGAAACCACTTTGGACTCGTACTGCCTTATTACTTCTTCATGAGTGATTCAAGCAGTAAACAGTCTTAAAGACACCAACCCTGTGACTGGTGTCTGAGGGGCAAATTTCGACGGACTGCACAAAAGAGTGGGTCGCGATGCCTAAATTATCGGTATCACTACTCAGCCCTCTCTGATCTATGGAATGTGAAGGCGAGTGTAAACGCCAGGGATGGTGATTTAATTGTGAAATAGGAAAAGGGATAGTGAGGCGTTCGATTAGCAATAAAACAGAAAGCTGATCGCAGAAGTGTCGGCTACAAAGCACTAGGCAAAGGGTGCGGAGGGTGAATGGGTGGATGAGTTAAAATTGTCATACCGACAGCACCGCCAACACAACAATGCTGCATAAGTTTGCCGAGAGAGGAAGGCTTTAGACGCGCACCTAGCCCACAATGGCTGCTGCTCCCCTTCTTCTGCTGCCCGCCACGTTTGCTGTCTAGACAGCAGATGGAGAGATGAGGAACTGGAAATCTGAGTGAGGCGAACCCTATTTGCCAATCTCTTTCCTATAGTAAGCATCACTGTTTCGTCTTTCTGGTCACAGGGAACGGATTACACACAATCTCATCAACATGCTCAAAATATGAGCAGGGTCTGTCATTCGAGGAATTTTTCAACCGTGTTAGCAAATCTTTAAGAGGCAAGAAGCTACTCCCAGAGTCAGACAACTATTCTGACGCTTGGATTTACCTTGAAAGAATAGCGCTACGACTAAGAGATTGTGCAATGACACTCTGAGACCAACGAAATCTCACGCAGAAATAGTCATGTCCGAGAGGATTAGATGATGTGAAAAAACACTGTGATGCCGAACATGTCTGATGTGACGTATCTATGGGATAAAACTCGTTTGTATCCCGAGTTGTGGTCATTCAATGTCTACGAACCACATCCAATCATACTGCCTATTATCTTCTGTGATTTTAACTCCTTTTCACATCTTTGGAGTGATCGAAACTGTCGAATATGTCGCTAATGGACAAACATTTCTTCAAAACCTAATAAACTGGGCTGATTGCATCGATGCTCACAAAGCACCTCCATTTGGCTTATCATTCGATTAACATGACACCATCGGCCTCCCCTCGGGACCTACCAACACTCCAGCGTCTATACCCTTCGATTGAAAGTTCAGATAATCCTTCAGATTAGAGATAGGTAGAGTCCCATTTATATCACCATGGAACCCATTCAACTCCAGTCTTCATATTCTTCGACAAAAGGTCTGGACGATCGTCCAGATTGCAAATTAGTCTCCAGTGAAATCTCCTGTTAAATGCACTTAAGTAACCGCAAAATAACCCACAGTACCGCTAAAACAACTCGTATGGAATAAATTTCCTCACAATTCAAATGAAACTAAGCTGAAACAGCAATGCAGACGCCAAGCTAGTGATTGCTATGGATCCCAGCCTTAATCATATGGCAGTTTTGGGTAAAGAAACTAACGAAGATGTGGCAGACATCACCTCTTACATCCGGTTCAGGGCAAATGTGTTGTTCGGTAACAAACATTTTGGGGCATTAAAAGATTAGGAGACATGTGAGGCAGCTCACCCTGGTCAAAGTAGAATTTGTGGAAATCACAGCCTTCAACAAGCGTTCCACGCACGTCCGGCCCAAAGTAGGTGAACTTGGGACACATTAGACGCCTGAAAATTTGAACAGAATAGAGAGGGTAAGGGCCCCCATGGGAGTCAACTAATATAAGCGAAGTAGGAGTCACTGTTTGAATGTGACATAGTTGCCGCAATAAATAGGTGCATGGCTGCCTTCTGTCAAGTGCTGATTAAGGAGCGCTCTCCTCCTCTGGGAGTGCTTGTAATGTAGTGTTTATTGCTCCTCTCTGTGCGAAAAAAAAAATCTACAATCCCACGGGCAATTGAAGACTTCGGTAGGCGTCACAACTACTATCAAGTACTAGGATTGCCTTTCCCGCTGTTAGTGAGATTAAAGTCAGATTGAGCTATTAATTGCGGGACGAAGCAGGCTCTGCAATAAAATTTACTGCGTGGACATAAAGTGCACGAGGAATGCGGAAAGAGGCGGCGAGGGAGAGAGAGAGAGGATGATGGGGTGACGTTAGGCACCAACCATCTAAAGTTCACAGGGAGCAGTTTTGGAGGGAGAGAGGGAGGGAGAAGTAGGACTTACGTGTAGCCCTCATAGTCGCAGGCAGTGGCGGCCGCTAGCAGTTGCTCCGTGAGTCGAATGATTTCATCCTTCCTGTCTGAAAGGAAAAGAGGGAAAAGAGACGAAAGACAATATCACACTCTATTTATATTTCTATTCAACCATTTACTCCCACAACTCATGCAGCTCCGACGTGCAAAACGCGACGTATTGGGGGCTCAATAAACCATTGCCATCGTTGGACGGCAAAAAATATCAATCTATGGTTTCTAGTGCTTTATCAGTTTAAGGAAAGAAATTCATACCTTGGATTAAAGCAATTATCAAACGGCGCTAATGGAATGTTATGCAGATTATTTTAGTCTCCAATACCCGGTCCTATAACAACAAAACTGGATTTCGCTCATACCACATCCACGACACTGGCCTCCCTGATCTGCATGTTTGCAACAGTGTCGTTCAAAGAGGTGCCTTACAATAAATTCAGAACACTTCCTTTAGCTTGAACCCTACACCAAAAAATTATAAAGGACAGCTGTCGGGGACGACTGTCAAGTTTCTGGCCAATGTCGCAATTCAGAGTAATGTCGGGATTAAAAGCAGTGAAGAGAGCTAAAAAAATACTATATTCACCTTCCTTTCACATCACATCTCGCCCCTTCTTTTCTACAAATTCATCGGCACCTCTCATGCAACTCTGAAATTCCCCGTCCAAGAGCCGTTACCATCATAAAAAGTGGTAAAATTTCTCATTTTCTCACCATTGTCCAGCGCTTTGGACACGCTATCGACTTGAAAGAAAAATCCATACCTTGAATTAAAGTAATTGTTAAACGAAGTTATTAGATTTGACGGCATTATATGGGGTCTTTCAGTCTCCAGTCAAATACGGCTGCCACAACGATGGAAAGGCGCTACTCGTGTTACCCATGCTGCTATTAAACTGCTTCCAGACGAGTATCAACAATTATCTCAGCAACAAATCTGACGCTACATCGATGGTAGCGTTGGCAAGCCGCAATAACAAAAGACTCCCAATATCGAGATGACTAAATCCACAGAAACTACCGACCGAAGAGGCTATGGAAATCTCTCCAACTTGTGGCAAAAACATCAGTCCCGAGTGTTACATCATGATCAGTAATGAAGGGAGATGGCAGATATTGGAGGAGGAAGAAGTGATTCTTTATCTGTCCCTGTATCCATACCGCGCCCATCCAACTTTGCCTCTCATGCACTCACGACATGCAGAACAAATGGTCGATTCGATGAGGACCCCAGAACTGCTAGCAGTTAAACAAGGATGGAATCTACGGCCTCCTTACCTTGACCTCTCGGTTCGATCGTATCTTCGGCTTAAAATGAAAATTTGTAGTTTGGGAAAAAATGCATAGTAAACAGAGTTGCTGGATTTAATGGTATTACGCAGACTCCTCCAATCTTTCACGAGGCTTTAAGCATACCACACCTACGCCACCGTTCTCCAAGACATTCTGCGAGATTATAATAAAATTCTGTCAGGAGACCATATTGGTAGCGGTGTAGTAAAAGGATCCACCACAAAAGAAACACAGGCCCGGTACTATGCAGAAGCGTGACAGAATAAGTGTATTTGCTGTGCATGTTTGAATTCACAGAAAATGCCAACCGAAGAGGTGGAGACCTAGGTACAAGTTCGCCACGCTGCATCCTCGCTCTCTCATGCAGCCACGGCATGCGGAATGCATCATTCAGAGTTCGTATGCCACCACCACTAATAAAATGGAAATATCTGGGTTCCTCACCTTGGTCCACCATTTTTGGGCTGCTATCGGCTTAAAATAAAACATTAACGTCTTGAATCCGAACAATTTACAAACAATCCTAGCGGATTGACTTCTACGAAGATGGCATGAAGCCCCGGCTCATGCAAACCATAAGACCAGTCTCGCAGACCTCTACAGCGTTTAAAATGGAACCGCAAACAATGGTTGCTGCGCATTTTTGTGTTGCCCGCTTCTCCTATCTTCATTTTTGCCTACTTGTTTAAATCATAGGGTTGCCATTGCTTCCGTCTTGTGTTACTAAAGGGCTCTGCCTTCACCAATGCTACCGTTACTACAGCTTAACCGTAAGAATGGTTGCCTAACTGGCCGTGAGTTTTCCTGCTTCCTTTTAATTTCTGCACAATTAGAACCGCGAAAAATATGACCAATCAAATAAAGGCGGCTTTGTACTTGGGGTGCTTGTTGTTCAAACCTGTGCTTTACCCCCTATCGTGAACCAACGCTCACGGGACCAAGTTGGGAGCATTTTATAAGTTCTTCGGGAGTAACAGGGGCGGTGTCATTGGTGGTGTAGCAAGCTCAAAAGTGTCGACTGCTAAGTCAAGTGGTAAACAAATGAAATCATAGAGACTAGCAGGAAGACTATAGAAATCACGCCGACTTTGAGCAACTATACCAATGGCCCAATAATGGAGGGAAGGGGTTCAAATGATGCACCACTTGTCTCTCTCCAGGGCATATACCCTGTCTTTATCTCGCACGCAGCTATGACATGCAAATCACGTTGGTTAATCCTTGAGCTACCACCCTGTGAAATAGAGGAAGGATACCTATTGTTCTCACCCTCGTCCGGTGATTCTGAGGTTTTAAAGGCTTAAAAGGAAAATTCATAATCCAATTTCAAAAAAGGGACAAACAGGGTTGATACAATGTTCTGCTAGTGCGTTAGCATGAATCTTATTCGTGAATTATGCTCCACAAGCCTTCTCAGTCCTCCCCAACTCGACCTTCAAAACCACTACTATTCCCAATCCAGTTATAGAAAATTTGGTGACCACAGTATTGTTCGCTGTTGTTGGTAAAAGAAAAAATCACTAAACTATTTTCAATCCTTCTGACCCTGGAAAACTAGAACACATTCTTTACATTTGGTTACCGTCGAGAAATAACGGAAGTCAGTGAACCGTTTGGGCGTTGATCACTAGCTCTTTCCGTATTTGGTGTACCTACGGCTGAAGACTAGACCTTAAGGACACAGGAGGCCATCTGTCACAGACGGGTGGTCAACCTGAGAGGACTCCCAGCAAAAGGAGCAAAAACGATGTCTGCATTTGACAAATACCCCAATTCCGCCTTCTACATGAAGGCCGTCAACAACTGAAGCGACACTAGTACACTCGAACACGTGGAAAAGTCCAGTACGCAGCTCGCCACGCCACCTATATGAAGTTGTTAATTACGCACACGGGCAACCCAAGTGGATGGGCATAAAGACAAACAGATAGGCAAGTAGATAAATTGATAAGCAAGTAGATAGACAGATGGCTGGACAGCACCGAAATGAAAACAAAGTAGTAAGGTGGAATAGACACGGCACATTAGCCCTTGAAGCTGCTTTAAACCTTGTCTCTCGTCTGAGAGCTCTACCGTTAAATCAGTTTCCGCACGACTAGCGTTCGGCATGCAACAAGATGCCCTCGTTTGGCATACGAGAACAACGTCCCCTCTTCAGCCGTGCGAAGCCACTGCATCCCCCCTTCCAATACAGTTCACAAATAAGGCGCAACTCCGCATAGAATTGGAGTTGTCAAGACGCGGCAGTGACGTGGGGATCAAATACCTCTTCACCTGCAAGAAACCTCAACTACTACCGTGACTGCTTTGCAAATGATTTCGAAAGCACCGACTACGTTGTGATGGCTGACCAAGAGGAGCGCCGAGGACGACGCCCAAAAGGAGAGATTATGCATCAATCTGATGGCTTCTTTAACCTTCAGTCTCCGCAGATTTTGCCTCTGCTCTGTGATCTTGCCTTTGGGGCCATAATGGTAGTCTCCCAACCCTTCTGCAAGTTTTTAATGTACATTCTTCCATACTACTTTGAATTAGTACGTAATTGAAGAAGGCTGATAGGGTCAATATAATCATACTTTAGATTTGTAATTTATTTCGAAAAAAAGAAGTCTCTTCTGCAAATGAGGGGTGAAAACAATTTAACACCATGCAGAAAACCCTGTAAGATTATGGTATGCAATGGTACCCTCTTCCTATTATATTTATTTAGGTATCAGTGCTACAAAAACTTGGCCTTTCTAAGATTTAAAATTTGTGGCATCGTGATCACTCACAGGCTGTTTGAACAAATGATCATTTGTGGTTAACTGTGAGCTCTAGTGTTCCTTTGATACCGCGCCTTGATTCAGGATTTAAACTCATACGAACTTCTGGTGACACCACCTGTTACAAAGGAGCGGTGGCATGAATTCATGCAAGGTCAAGACATCTGCTTGACGAAGGTATTGCCAGAGGGAAAAAGTCACAGGATTCAAAAAAATTAGATGGGATTTGCTCAAAAAGACAAATGCCATCAAGCCTGGTACGAGCGATGCTGATTGCTATCGTTACACTCACCTTGGCAAGTGAATTGTCCAAGGTTAGTGGGGAATCACTAACTGGCCTCCTCCAAGACTTCATTCGACAACTCATTAATCAATTCAGTTTACTTACAATCGCCAAACTGGAGGTTTAGTACCCCCGAGGTCCCAATCATCCGTATTTATCATGGCAACCACGGCCATATTTAACTGCATCAAATTTGATGCCCCTGAGAAATGGCACTGCACAATTTATGCATCTATTCTAAACTAACGAACTTCACACAACGATGGGCGTTCGTTCACAAATTTTCCACTCTTTCAATTTCAACTGCTCTAAAAACAGCCTGCATCAAAACGTGTGTGGTGGTATCACTTTTATGCAGTGTTGTGTCAAATTTTGAATGTCAATGGCAAAAATTCAAGCTTCGTGGATTTACCTAGACTTTCGAAGCGCTCCACATCCGGCACACCAGCAGTACGACTGTCCACAGACTTTTCAATAAGCTCGTAGGCGAGAGCAAACCTCATTCTCACACGGTGAGGGATAAACTTGTGCTCTGATTCTGCTTAAAATGCCCGGTGTATGACAGAATACCATGTTCCCTCCTCCTCAGTGTACTTCACGCCTAAGCTTTGGAGCCGTCACCAGTCCAAAGCGGTAACTCCCATACTAAGCCATAAGGTAGACGGAAGTAGTCACAAGGCATGATCAACTATAATTCTACCTCGCGCCTTTACCATTATCAGCGGAGAGGCAAAGGTAGAAAAATCCTACTTTTAGCCATCGGCCAATACCTAACGCTTAGTGTAAAATCAGCAACTTTTTCGTCTGCAAGAATCGACTGATAACCACTAACATAGTCGCAATTTATTCGACCAAAAAACTTTCGGATGATGAAATCACTATTTAAGAGAATCCCAAAGGTCCAGTCAGGCAAAAGATAAGAGCATCCACCTTCATAGACCGCATGCAGTAGCAGGATATTCGTGAAAGTTGGGCAAAAAGGCATCACCAGGAGAGGAGCGGTAGTTGATAGAATGAACTAGCTGTAAAAAGCAACCACCCAACCCAACCATCGAGCCAGTCATGCGGAATAACAGGTAGCGAAAAGCCGGCTTACTGGTAGTGCTGTGTGCGGTGTCATTCTGATTCGATGTTACGGTGGCATCGCGAACAGGCGATTCTATCGTAGCACGGAAGGGAAGGAATTAGGTTTAAAATCTACTCTGGCGCCCTTTTTAGAGGAACGCAAAAATGTCTTTATCCGGAAAGATATTATTTTAGTGCCTTCTCTCTGCAATATCATTTTTGATTGTTTCTTCAGTTAAAATTCAATCTAATATCCCGATAAAAAGGTCCTAAGTGAGACCCATTGGTCATTCATCCTCGATTCTTCAGTTATGGTAAATCGAGTAATTCTTGAAGGCAGAATAAAATTGTTTTTAAACAGACTGTACTTTTACCAGGCTGCAAAATCCCTAAATCCATTCGTAAACAAGTTGCTTTCAGTTTGGGGTCGTGACATGCCATTATTGACAATCGACAGGTCATTCAGAGGAGATAAAATGTTGGTGAAAATCACAAGCACCTCCCCAAATCCTTACTTCTATCATAAAAGACGGACCCAAAATGAATGGGAAACCAGTCATTTTAAAACCCGCGATTTTATGTAGGGAAATCACATCTTTAAACAAATATCTAAATCAATGACAGTAGTGCGCAACCAATTTTGAATGTGGTAGACACTTTTATCACGTCAAAAAACCAGACAAATTTCCCTCACTTGGAAGAAAAGGAATTAGAGTATGAAAATCCTAAATGGATAACCTGCTTTTAAGATCTCCTTAAGAGCTGCTAGAGTAAAAACACCAAATTTTAGCAAACAAGCCCGGAATTTCCACCAAGGAGCTTACTTTTGACCTCTTTGGAGTCCTCAATGGCATTGGAAGGACCATCTCTGGATCCCTTCAGACCACCGTTGGTCTTCTTCGCTGAAGCCGCGGAAGTCGCCGAGCTAAGAGTACTTCGACCGGCTGCGAGACAGAAAAAAGGAGAATGTGTGGATAAATTCTCGAAATTGGGCAGTCCCCATCTGCTTGGAATGCGTTTTCCTCAATCAAAACGGAAGGATGTATTGGAGTGAAGAGGTTAAGAGGATAAGCGGATGCATTCAAATAGTTTTGCCTTTTCTTAAAGCCGAAAGAGTTCTCCGTTAAAGGGGGTGGGGTTAGCAAATCTTGAGATTGCACTGTTTTGGCCCCCAAGAAATGATCAATTTACGTGTAACGGTGTCTGCATTCAGCGCCAGATTCTGGTACATAATGGCGGCAGGTGAAAGCTGACCTGAATTGAAAGGAAAATTGTTGCTGAATCTGTCAGACAGATTTTCCAAGTTAGGGTGCGGTTAGAGCGAGGGGCTGGAAAGCAATTACGTCGCCTTCTGCTGCCCCACCGACGATGAGCAGACCACCTGAAAGCACATTTATCTTCCAAGAGCCATACCTTATGTTACCGCTTCGCATAGTCTTTTTGCCTATCCGCAGGAATACAGAATATTTCTGTTCGACCGCTCCGATTAGGAGTTGGTGCTTTGTGGTTCGATGGCCATCTTCTAATTCTTGAAACCACGACTAATCCACCTCGTAGACAACTCAAAGCACCAATGAATTCAGTGGCCGGTGGGGATTTGGCTAGTCAGTAAACGCACAAATTGCAACCTGAGCCGTTCTCTTCTGGGAGACCACTGGGATTTTGAAAGGCGCTAAAAAGCGCCATGGTGTAGAGAGAGAGTGGAATGAAATGACTACCTCCTTGCTGCTGGCAAAAATGGCAAATTAGTCTTGCGGACCATTTGCGTGCATGCGTACTCAATTGCTAACAACAAAGCAAACCTTCGATCAAGAATGAAACTTCCCATACTAATCATTCAAAGTTATCGTATCCCGTAAAGTCGCTTCTTACATTCCGATCGGCATAAACGGTGCTACCCTATGCTGACATCAAGGATTCTGAAAAAAAAGTTACAAACAAGCTGACCTAGTGACCCAGTCATTCCCCTTCCCCAAAAAAAATAGTTCACTCTTAAATCTGCCATTATGTCTGTTCGCTTCACCTCCGCTCACCCAAACGATCCACACGATCTATCAGCAAAACAAGTCACCTGTTTGAGCCTTCCAAAACAGCACTGCCAAAACTTGGAGGCCCCCACAGAGCTCTCTGATTGAGCACTCACTGCTAGCCACCCTGAAGTTGATTGCGAGCCTACCTCTACTAGGGCAGTTTATATGATTTGAGTGAGTCGTGTCAGTGGATGATGAGTACGAGGCAGGCTTTACGGTTAGGTGGATGCCTCCGAGTTCTCACCACAAGGAAAAGACTGAAATCCGGGGTCGAGGGACTGGGCTGCCCTTGGTTCTTTTTTTGTTACAGCTGTTAAAGTTGAGAGGGAGTTTAGACATGAGAAAAATATAAAGAAATTATAGGTAAACTGCAAGATGAAGAAATATTGCGTGAGATTTCAGGACTCACAACACCATAGTAGCTGCAACAGTACAATTAAGCATGGAACGTTCGAGTTCCTTGAGGCTGGTGAGTAAATAAAGCGAATGAAACGGTGGAACGCGAATAATGTGTGTTTGGTTGTCCAGCTTCACGCAATATATCAAAACAAACGATTACAATGGGCGAAGCTCTGCTATAACCGATTTAACGAAGTCATAACTGTGACCAAGTGCCTGAAAAGGAACAAGTCTGTTGTGGAATGCCACCATCCCGGGTATATATCATAAAAAGTGTCGTTGATTAAACTGCATGGAACGGCGATCAAGTTTTCCGGATGTCAAAAACTGTGAAAACGCTCCGGTTCCTCGCGGTCCCACCATCGACCCAGCCTCTTCACCTCTGGTCAGTGCACGTGAAAGAACCTCGTGTTTCCAAAGTCGGACATTTCACATTAATTCGGCTAAAATTTTCATTTTCACTAAAGCCTCTATAAACGGCCTAGGCAAGGAGCGCCTTTATCAGGGGGGAATTCTGAATTTTGAAAAAGGCAACTTGTTGTTTTTGGCTGGCACGTATTGGCAATTTAGCAGAGTAAACAATCACATTTCACGTAAAGACCCGAAAAGTGAAAAGACAGTGTAGAAATACACCCTAAAAGTCCTAAGTAGTTTGAGAGTTGAGCTTTGTGCATAATTTTACATCCACTTAAAATTAAGCAATTTACGAAATCTAAAATTCATTCAATTTTTGAGAGCGCTTTCAAGAGATCAAAAATGCATAAAAGTTGGTTTGGCAGAAAAGTACCTTTGAACACCCGCACAGAACGTCGAGTAAATTATCTAGTATTTTTGTGCTCAGTTTTATGCAGCCAACTTCTCCTACCTCCTACCACTCACAACTGCCCTGAAATTAGTTTTTCAAATCAAGTGTCTCCGAAGGCAAAGGGTAAATCATGAAATGTTGCGGGATGAACCAACTCAAGAATTCTTCAGTTTTTAAGCTTCCAAGGACTAATTTTGGGTCCCCGAGTTATGGGTTACGAGTTGATTAAAAATCACAATCTTATGGCAAACCGGCATCAAGACGAGCTTCAGTATACTAAGTAAAGAGTTACAATTTGTGAGCCAGGTCAGTCATTTACTGACGCATTGACTGATAGGAAATCACCAAATTTCTGAACAAACGCAAACAGTAAATTCTTCGAAGTTTAATAGAGATGAAAGTAGCTGAATGGTCAAGTAAATCATACACGATTTACAACCGAATAGGGCACGTTTCCCAGCATCCTCCTCCTCCCCCTGTCCCCAAGGCTTAAGGCCACCTAAAGCAGAGGGGCCTGTTGCGATGAGGTGATACAAAGGAAAAACAATCTCGCTGGTAAAGTTTGACCTGGAATGCAGGACCAGAGAGGAGGAACAAGCAAATAAGCTGCCTCGATAAACAAATCATGCACGAGTGGAGTTAACTCCGGGCGCTACAGCTGAATGGTTCCGGCAGCACTGAGCAGGCAATGAAACGCTAACTAAAATGATAATAATAAACCTATGCCTGGGAGTGTCGCCTGAGAGCATGGAATAGAATGCTGATGCAGACGTCCTTCAGGGTAGCTTCTCGCTGAAACTTCACAGCGTCAACGTAGACGCATGACAGCGTGATTCGCCCCGTTTATCAAGCGCACCATTCTCAAGTACTTGAACTACTGGTTTCAGAGCCCAAACCATTGTAAAGACACACTAACTTCACTTGATTTTGAAACCATTCTTAGCTTACAATTTTGTGTTATTTTTGAACAGCGACGAGTTCCATCGTGGTGTAATTAATTCAAACAGCTCAAGGCGTTGATTGAAATGGTGCACAAAGGTCGACACAACGGCTAGAAAAAGTTCGTTTCGAAAGGCAACTTCAGCCCAGAAAACGAATCACCCATGCGAGGGCTCCAAATTTAGACCGAGGTAGACGATGACGGTTAATTCAAAGTCTATCGTCATCCCAGCCACTTGAATAAATTTGGCAAGAGGGGTTCCGACGCATCCATTAAACGCGTGAGTGAAGTACCACCCTCCCTTTACTCCCCTGGTGTTATAGTTGAGTCGTCTTCACATTGGCTCTTAGTTGATACAACCAAAGAAATGGATCGGAATTAGCATAACCCCGGTATTTCTATTCAGGAAGAGCCTTTTCAGCTACTTATGATCGAAATAAGCCGCGGAGTTCAAGCAAGCAGAGAAGGGTATGATTCTTCCATTTCGTGGGATATGAAATGTCAATTTTTGTAAATCAATAGTTTTTTGGGACTATCTTACTTTGACCTGGCATGATCTGATGTAGATCGTTATTACCTCAAAAGCATATTTTCGTCGGCGAATGCCAATGATTAAATAGTTTTATACAAAAATAATACACATTTGGAAATGAGTCCTTTTACGACTGACACGAATGTAGACAATGAGCGCCGACACGACTATTTGGAAGTTGGGCCCCTTGCAGGCTCTTCTGATCTTTCGAATGAGACAGAACGATTGTGTAAAGTGGGTACAGTCATGCCTTGGAAGCAGGTCTGGCCAACTACTCCGCTGAACCAAGCTGACGTGATTCAAATGAGTAATTTGCCTTCTCCTCGGAACTTCCGGCCTCGTCATGCCACGAGAACGAATCGTTTTTACCACAATTCACAGAATAAAGCCTTAAAAAGTGGGCGGAATTTGCCCACAAGTACGTCAAGAGTCCGGCATTCAGTTCAGCCCGAAGGAGGGCCACACAAGAGTAGTACCCATTTGATGAAAAGGCCACGTGGATATGGTGCAAACGTGTACATATATGTGGCCTTTGAAGAATGATGTATAACACACAAGTGCAAACACACAAAGTGGGCAATTATGACTGATGGATGGGAGGAGAGAGGGCGGAGACGAGGTATGTGGAGAGCCGACTTACAGAAAATATTTCGCGTGGCGATCATGGTTGTCAGAATAGCGCCCTAAAAGTTAAATGAGGGAATATTTAGGTGTTTGCAATTCTGCACGATGGCCTTGGGAAAAGGAAGGTAAGCAAATTGCATTTTACCAGGCGTGAAAAAGGGGAAATGGCCAACTTTAAAACTGGCATGTAATACCGCTGTCACGAGCTTAAGTAGTATGATTTACAACTCGGTACAATAAAAGACTAAGTGCTCTGGTGTGAAAAGATCAGTGTGTTTACATCAGATAAGCCAGATTACTTTAAGCCTGTCCTAACCCGCTTTCTAAAAAGTGCAAGATTTATTCACTCCTTAGTCACGATGGCATATGGCAAGATAAATAAGGCAAACTACCGCTGCTTTTCAATTCGAAAACCAAAAAGACCTGAAGGAAAAATTACCTGTTTAACTTCCTAAAACATAAGGTTTCGTGATTATTTTAACCACTCCCCATAAGTACTATTTAAAATAGGTGTAATACTTCGTTCAACTCTCGCCATTGTACCTCCCCACTGGGCGGCCTAGCCTCAAGGACATGCCAATAACCACCTCGGCCTTTCTGTATGTGGCCGACACATTTCCTGCTCTAGCATTGCCTTCTTTCGTCTTCAGGGAAGTCTCAGCAAAGCATCAACGCAAAATTTGGGAAACTATTTAAAACACATTCACCGTGGGAAACGTGGCTAATTCGCTTATGAGTAAAATAATTGGGTAAGTTGGGAGAATTGAAAAATAAAGTTTCAAGAGAACATAAAATGGGAAGGAATTATTTTCCTCTGCGCTCAGAGGAAGGAAGGTTGAGTAAAAGGTGTAATTTCCATATTTCACATTCGGACCCATTACTGTCAATGATATCAAATCAAAGAAAAAAAATAAAGATAGAACCTAAGTCAGATAACTGTAAAATATCAAAGTGCACATCTAAAAAAAACGTTTAATTTTAGTCACTTCCCAACGAATCAAATGACAGGGACAATAAGCAAATTCACTTCGGAAGTTAGGAGAAGTTCCTTCGTATTCAAAGGGATAAAAATAGTGTTCAGATTCAATCATAGCCATTATGAAAAATGGTGAAATGATTATGTTCTGGAGAAAATGTTAGGATAGCTCCCGGTTTTGGCAATGGGTCACTGCGGGGCCCCACCACTGTATGTCCACCGGGCGGCCAAGCCCTTGGGCCATGCCATTAGCCCCAAGTCCCTCTGTGGGTCGAAAATACATATTTTACCCGAACACCATATCCTCTTTCGTCTTCAAAAAAGTCCCGAGGCGCTACATCGACATTTTCAAGTCTCAAGCTTTAACAGTTCGAAAGGATAATTCGTTGTATTTTTTCCCGAACACAATGAGATGGGGGGTGAAATGATGAATTTGAGGGCATCATTACGAAGTTTGTAAATTCAATAAATTTATGCCTCAAGCAATAGAGATATTCTGGAGTGAGATTCTACCAACTCGATAAAGGTAGACCGAATTCGCCGCATCCATGAGGGGGATATTGAATCCGATGCACTGGGGGGCAAGCGAATGTGTGCCTGTTGGCACTGATTAAAGGAGGTACAGAATTCATCGGTTTGAGGACGGTTTTTACGAAATGTAAACACCCAGCAAATTGAAGTACAAGATAGCAAATCCTCCAGAACCAAGACTTAGCCAACTCAAAATAGGACTATGCCCTTTCCTAATTTGACTAAAAAAACAGTAAATTGAATCTGGCAATGGTTTCAAAGGAGACTAAAGGCAAGGCAATTGAGTTTTTCTACGGATGAATTTTGACATCTCAAAAGCTGGCATTGAGCAGTTTGGATTTTTTCTTCCAAGGCCCAATAATCTGCAACCCCAATTAGGACAGCAAGTATACGCGAAATAATTACTTCAATAGTAACACTGATAAACAGTATAGACTAGGAGGAATCACAAAAACAGCGAGGGGTTGAACAAAGAACTAGCTGGGCCATAGGGAGTGCGGAATAGCCACATTTGAGGAAGGTGACACGCGCGCACATGTGTGCGTACGCACCCACGAATGCAATCGTGCGTGCGATAAGACACACCGCCAGCCAATCACCTGGCTGCCTGCGCGGTGACACGTGCGCACTCCAAGATCGATAGACTGCAATGAGTACGCACATGCACGCCCGTGCGCGCGCATGTGAGCACGATGCAAAATTCTACACAAGCACACACAGCCGTGCAAGAGGACCAACATGAACGACTCAAAAAACATAGAGGAAGCAGAGCAGAGCGTGGGTGGGTGCTTGGCCTGCGGTCCAGAAAATTCGAGCAAAATCACTAGGACGGAGGGGGGGGTGGGGAAGGGAGGAAGATCAACTTGTAACAGGCCCCTTTTAGGGTGGAGTGACGAAGGTACTTCTTCAGATGAGTCAGATAAGGGGGTGGAAAGGTGAGGGATTTGTCAGTTTCTGGATTACTTACCGAAACGGCTTTAAGACATTGAAATGAATGAATTTACCCGAGTTCAAGAAGACAAACTGGTACAGTCATACAACTTCAGGAATCACTCTCGAGGAAAGAGGGATTATTTTCGAGACACGCTTTCAAAATTGTAGATTATAATCCTGACCGAGTCTCGTCTCGAATGCTCCCAAAAGACAAAGGTGCGAGGAAGTGACATTCGTATGGTAGGAGATGAACACTTACTCTTCTACCGATTTCAGATTGGAGACTAAAGGTCTGGATTGAACCGGATATTTTTGTCCACCGGAGACTAAACAGTAGCCGACTGAAGCTGAGGTAGTGCGCACAGTCAAATAGCGCGAAGGATGGATGAAAAGCGTACTGACTGGGTCAACTGCTGCAATGAGCTTGCCGAAGATGGGAACTTAATCTACTCCCAAGGGATTAGCAAATAAATCCACGATACTTGAATGAGGAATGAGTGAATGAATGAACGACCAATCGCCTACGGAACTAGAATTGGAAGACGAGTAGTCTATCGCAGAGAATGAGCCGAATTGATAAGGCAAAAAAGTTGGTTTTGTACACTAAACAGCCTAAGGAGTCATTACCGAAGGGAGAGAAGGAAAGAGAGGGATTACTTTCAGGACAAAAAAACTATTCATCATCGAAGTAGAACACACCATGCTGGATAACCTTTTTTTTCCACATCGTGTCATAGCGGAGCTGCATCATTCAGAATCCATGATGATGAAAAAAGTACCGCGGGAAGGAGCTCGAATGCTGAAAAAAAGGGCAGGTAGGACGCAGACAACGGGAGAGTTGTGGCAGCATCATTGAAAACAATGGGGAGATGCGTGATGCGGCAGACACCAGGATCGAGACGAGAAGTGAAACCAGTAAAACAAGTCATCACATTCCATTGGCCAAAAAGTAAGTGTTACCTCTCTCTCAGATCGGGTCGATTGCTGCTTTATTGAGGTAATAAATAAATACCCAGACAAACAGTGACATTTTGATGCTTCTGATGCGAATTCTCGAGGCCTTCCAAGGGGAGAAAACGGGTTAGTAAAAACACAATTGGGAAGCGCCACTTTACAAACTCGTGGATGGAGTTGGCCAAACACTGCCTCATCTCTGGCGCACGAAAACGTTGTCGACTTCCTTGAAGGATTAAAAGAGGATTGGGTCAAGAGAGCATTATTTCGTGGACCTGTTCAAAACGTTCCCATTTGCTGAAATCGAATTTCCGACTTTCTGAAAGGCGATGAAATAGGCTTGGCAGGTAAACGCAAGTACTTCGCATTTTCGAGGTCCTCTGACTGGATTCGACGCAAACCTTCCCCATAGTTAGATCTCTTCCTTTAAAGACGATGGAAAAACACCGGGTTGATGAACACAGCTGAAAAAGTACCATTTTGAAGGCACTTGATAAAACAATTCTGAAGTATCGCGTTCGAAGAAAATGGAAACATTATCTGAAGGCCATAGGAGGGACCTTGAGATCTGCCAAAAGGCCTTCGTAGCAAGCAAACAGAGATACCCCGGTGCTTTCAAAAGAAGCGTTCTTTGAGGTGTTCCAATCTGCATCGCCGCAAGAGGACGAAAATACCTTCAAATCTCCCGAAAGGAGGTGGAACCGCTCAAAGGCGGTTTTGAGATATTCCAACTGAATCTGTTTCAAAATCGCCGCTTTGCCGAAGTGCGAAGATAGCCTCGACTCTTTTAATAACATTTGAAAGAATTGTTTTGTAATATGAGTTCGAAAAGCTTTATTCGAGATTCGCCAACTCAGTTAATGCAAAACCCGCTTCGTTGATAGCAAACGAGAAGAGTATTGGCCAAGTGGAAAGGGATTCAAATAAATTGGAGCATTAGGTACGCATCTGAGAAGTGGCATTTTGAGATCCTCCACCAAAACACCCAGCTGGCTGTTCAGCTACAAGGAAGAGAGGGAGAGAGACCCACAAAGCAGAGATGGAGAGGGAAGCGGGCAAACTTGGCAACTGTTGATTAGCGAGCTGGACGACGACCCGATGCAATTTAGCATGCGATTTAATGCACCAAAATTTACGCACACACGCGCCCCTGGGGCAATGGCCGGACCATCGCCGGGTGGTGATGTTAGTTGCCCGTGCATGCCAGAACTACAAACGTACACTGAAAGAGAAGGAGGCAAACGATTAAATGGTTCAATAGGCAAGTGCACCCCACTTTCTGGCGCTCATTTGAAGTGTTCAATTTCAAATGGGAAACGGGCTCCTCAAGACTGGAAATAAGAATTAAAATGAAGCCTATATTATGGGCGACAGCTTCTCAACTTGAGCTTCCCAGGGCCTCCAAAGTTTTGTAATACCTCGTATAGTAGATGACCAGGAGCCCTCGACTTCAAGCCTTGTCTGTTTGAATAGCTTTTTTTGCTTGTACGAATGACGAGAAAGGATGAATGATTCCCTTTCCAACACCCCCACTCACATAGGCAAACTCATTCATCCAGTTAGCCTATTAACCCAGCCGAAGTGTTTCAAATAGTTAAGGTTACGTTCACCTCAGCATTTTCCAGAGTTCAACTACCCACGTTCCTTGCCTTGCCAAAATGTTTCAAACCAAATTGCAATTTGATATACAATATTCATTATCGCTATCCAATGGTTCCCTCACGTGGCCTGTAGCCCATTTTACGCGTTAAAATCGTTGTCCAGGGTGACAAAAGATGGCGTGAGTCCAGCTTATTAGCCACACTCGTCGCTCCGTAAATGCTTGAGGCGCCACATTGGGCTTATCCGAAGGCAATGCGAGTTTCCAGTTAATCCCTCCAAGATTCCAAATAAGGTCAACCAATATGGCAATCTTAAGGACAGTAACCAAATACCCAGAGGTTAGGTTTGAAGAATTGCGACGATGTCTCCGCTGAACAACGAGGAAAGTCGAGAAGAGTCAATGCGATTCTCAAGCCCTTTTGCTAGAAGAAATCAGACATTTCGTGATCGCAAACAGTAACTGAGGGTAGATGTAAGACCATTTTCATTTTTTTTTCAAAGGAATCCTTAAGCGAGGTGTCAACAGGTGTAAGACAGCTCCAATTTTTTAGCTACTCAGTTGGACGCTTGAGACAACGATGGTGCTATGGTCCAAGGTTCAATTTTCACCGAAGTTCCCGTCTTTTTGGCCACCTAGTCTAAAAACCAACAGCATTCAGTAAAACCTATTGAGAAGACCAAATGCCAGATTGCGATTTAGGCATGAAAATTGATCCCTAATCCTCTTAAAAGAAACCGTTCTGTCACCTACATAATGCTTACACAAACATCACTGACATCCGCACGGAAAGACAAGAGCTCTGACGACAGACGTGAATGCTATCAAACTCCCTTACATTGGTGACATACAGCTCTGCTCATACCGTCTATGCGGCTGGTGTTCTCTAGACACTTGGTGGGATTTGACAAGGACTTGCATACCTTAAACAGCCATCAGGAATTACTCAGGCGTAACGATGTGATTCTGCTGGACCCTACTACTGAATACTTCAAATAAAATATCCACTTGTGTAAAGACGACCATCAAAAAACATGACTACCAAGAATTCCTCGCATATGAGATTCCGCCACTTCAGATCGCTCCCCAATGCCTGCCGTGAAAAAGAGGACTAGAAAATTCTGGGGAGACCGCGCCACCCATCAATGTCACGCCAGTCAAACGCGCAATCACACGAGCTACACGGTTGAGGAGCCGTGGAGGAATAAAGCCTAGGCTCGTGTACATGTACAAATGTATGTCCTACGGCACAAAAGGAGGGACGGAGCGACAGAGCAGGAGGAGAAACGAATCGAAGAGTAAACCAATCTGGAAGATGCAATCAAACCGGAATTTTGCACCGCCTATCCTTCTCAGCCCCACTGGATGCAGCTAAGCAAAGGTGAGGAGATTCGAAAAGGACCTCATTATTACAATCCATTTGAAACTTTCCAGGCCCTTGTAAAAAATGATGGACTAAGAATTATGAGTAAGAAAGCGATGATTTCAAGAGGAGGGAGGATGAGGTGGCTACAGAGTAGAGATAGTAGTGTAGTCTCACCTTGAGCTTTCTTTTGGCGTTGAATTTCTTGAGACATTCCACAGTCTCCTGTCTGTGCATACTCGAAGCCACACGTTCAGGTTGCTGAAAGAAAAGCCAATAAAAAGAAATAAACGGAGAGGCCGAACTTAGGGACCCATCAATAAAAAAACGCATTAGGATTCAATAGGGTTGGAAATATTGTTTCTAAAGTGGTTTTGGAAGCAGAATGCGGATCTAAAACCAAATTCGGATTTCCAGATGGTTTGGTTTTAGTGGAATCAGTTAAAAAAGGTTAAGTCACCAATTTAAAAAGACCACAAGAAATGGCGAGTTTACTCATAACCCCTCTTCCTTTACTTTGAAAGGAACTTTAACTTTTGACTAGAATAATTTAATTGAACTATTTTGATTCACTGACTGAACACAGCAAATCTAGCCTTCCCCACCTCACCTTTTACAAGTTGAGATCATTTTGGGGATAGTTGGGAGGCGAGATGGAGTTGATGGAGAGCAGCAAAAACGACCAGAGGTGTGCATAATTTACGCCATTTCTGCTCCCTCTTATGGATATGCAGCGCCGTGTCTCTGATTTATTTATGCCATGATACGAAGACGCCCCACCACGCACCCACCCACCCGCGTAGACAGGCAAGCAGGCAAAAATGCGCATTTGCGGCATGTGAAAATATCCCCCTGGCCACACACTCACCCCAGCCTGGTTTTCGCTCAGAATGCGATTGAACTACTGGTGGTAATGGAATTGAAATTCCATCCACAAAGAAGTGGCAAAGATTACCGCCTTCTGGCCGAGGGTTAAAGGAGGTAGTGATTGATTCGATTCCGTCGACATGAGAAGCTGTACCCAAGGTGCTCAATTAGTAAAACACGGAAGAAGATACTTTGTCAAAGCCACAAAATGATTCAGTTCTTTTAAGTGGAATACGAAATCGAGCCGGAATCGTCGTGTGTTAGAATTAGTCTCAACTGAGAAATGTGTTGGCATTCCTCATTTTTACTCAAAAGCGCTTAAAAGATCGGCTGATAGAAGTGTTAGGCCCCTTTTGTGGGGGTCTAGGAATCCGACTTCACTTTAAGTGAAAGACGGTTTCATTGAAGCCTTCAACAGACTGATGTAGGGTAATCGCCGAATGCCTGAAGGGTATGAGGGCGACACTTTAATTCAAAAATAAGCTCGATTCCACTCCTTTGGCATCGAAAATAGAATTACATTCTAGATTTGTTGGAATGTCCATTTATTCCAACTCACAACGTCAGTAATAGGGGAAACTTGAGAGGTCAGATGGTGTTTAATTCATCACTTCTAATTGAAGAGCTGACCATTTTTCCTCTCGAAATGCGGGTATTCGCTTCATTTCCACTGCCACGCCTTACCTTATTAGTGGAGGTTCAGGAAGTGGTTTAAGAGTAGATACAGACCGTGTGCTGACGAGAGAGCATCAATTTTGTAGGGTTGACAAGTTCCGTTCATGCAAAACCGCGTACGATTTGACTACAGGCTTATGCGTTCACCGTTTGAGGGTCAAAGTAAAAAGGGGATGGCTGCAAGCACAAACCGTTACTGGGGCCTTACTGCCCTGGAAACACCAAAACAGTACAGGCAATACCTTGTCACTGCCCTAACTTTAGTCGGGCTATTCTTTCTATTCTAAACGCCTTTTTACATTAGAAACGGCTAATAGGATCGTAGTGTTAGGTTGTAACCAAACCAGCTCCTCCACACATATAAAGTCCCTAATTTTAGGTTTACGATTCGCCATTTTACATGATACATCGTGCTAAAGCAACGTTCGATGATTACATTGGTCTTTATTCCATAAATAACTGCCGTCAACTGCAATTAATGTCAACTGATTCCCACGGCTGTTTCCTATTCTCCTCTAGCACCTAAAGAACGGCGGGGAGAAGGGTAGAGGGGAAAACTCACGAAGATCCACTGGTGTTTCAGCGCCTCGGCCGCAGTGATACGTTTGGAGGGGTTCATGGTGAGCATGGAGTTGATCAAATTCTTCGCCTCCGCTGTCACCGTGTCCCACTCCGGTGGAGGGTACTGTTGTAGGAAAATCAAATAAATCATTCAGAAAGGAAGCAATGCACCTTCGGAAATGAAAAGGATGTAAGCTGTCGCCCAATTTTGTTGAATAACCGCATCAAGAGCCATCGGCTGTAGAAGAAACGGCGTATAGCATTCTGAAAGCTATTTTGGAACATCTATTCATACGGCTAGGAAGGACTCTGAAAGGGACGTGCATCCGTATATCACAGAAGTCAATGTGCACCCCCAAAAGAAGTCCGAATCGCAGTCTCTGATGGGTAGCGCCTTGAGTTTTAACGATGAAAATAACCGGGTCTCTTCATGGAAATGCATAGAACTGAGGTTAAATACCTCTTTGGAGAACATCCACGGAACGAAAATGTTTTCAACACCATGCCAAACACAAGCCAAACTTCAAAAATGGCAAAAACAAGCGAAACGCCCTTTCAAGCCTTACATTCCCAATGGTTGCGTTGGCAATTTATAAATGCTTTCAGGAGAAATGATGAAGGCTCCGATGAAACTAGAGTGACCTATTGATCGATCAATGGTGAACCGAAACCGAGTCCCAAATCGAAGAAGACATTCCAGACCTAAATGGCGGGGCATATTGCTTTCTTCACATTTCTTTGTTGACTTCAATGCTAAGTTTAAACAAAATTTACGAATTTTACACATAGATGGGGGGAAAGGAAAAAACTTTTAAGAACAAAAAAATGAAAATTGAAATTCTACCTGCGTGAAATTCGGCCAGCTAACTTTGCCGATTGATATATCACCGATAGCCATTGTTTGGACTCGCGATAGAGACTGAATAAATCTTCGTGGGAAACGGAAGCCTTAACAACCGATTTTCATCCCAGTTGATTTGATACACTTCAATAACGCTTCATGCCGCTTTTTCCAGGCTACTTGCCCTCCAGTGCCAAACCTGAGGGTTTTACGAGGAGCGGGAACGCTAGCACTATTTGTAAACGAAGAAGGCATTCGGGTTTATGACTTGGAATGAAAGAAGAAAAAGTCTTCTGGAACAAATCTTCCGATCTGAACATACTAATAAATGGTGGATGTAGTCTTTATGGCAAGATATTCTACATGGGCTAGAACGGAACTATTCAAGCGATGAGGCACAAACTGCCCAGTCACATGAAGGTGAGGCACCGATTTCTCTTATTTTCAGACCTCCAGCTGCACCTGAGTGGCAAATAATACTTACTGTTAATTTAGAAGAACATTCCTCCAAAACCATCGATACAAATAACTCAGAGCCTTAAAATACCCCGATATGCCAGGAAACAAGATTAATTTCTTTTCACCGAAATACGCTCTTAGTCTAGTTAAGTAGCGGTTTCATCAATCAAGTATGAATTTTATTTTTTTTCTCAAAAAAGGGGAAATAGCTTCACTTTCGGCTAGAGGTATTACAGTTGGCTCCTTCGCAACAACCCTGAAGCTCATTCAGGGCAAGTGTACGATCTGTTAAAGTAAGACCAGACTACTTCTGTTTTCACCTTCAACTTAAGCTCCGTGAGCCGGGGGCACGATTATCACCGAAAAATACTCACTGTTTGCCAACAGAACTTCCTCCTTCAACATTTCCTGTCCACTTCCTGACTGCCATTAATTTTTTACAACTGGATCATGCAGAAACCTCCATCATAAGCTAAGGAGACGCACCTTTGAATTTTACCGCCTTTTTGCCTACCTCAGGGGGAACAGACATGCAAACATTAAGTATTTGTCTACCCCTTTCCTCAAATCCAAAATGCGAACTATCGCGCATTATAGCAGATACATGGAAATGGTGAAGGAGGATGACTGTCCTCAGTGGGTATGGCCCTGCGCAACATTTTCCGCCTCCTTTCCCAATCGGAAACTGGACCTTAAAAATCGTAAAGCCCAGCATCCACGTGATAGGGAAGGAGGAATAGTGGGACCATCAAATGATGCAACAATAAATGATACCTTTTTGTGAGTATGCAAGATTACACGAGCTTTTGTAGTCTCCCTCGGTTCATTCTCTAAAACACCCATAGCTTTAGTTCACCACGTCTTCCCCACAAAAGGATCTACATTGCCTATCGTCAATGGAAGAGCAATCAACGTCTCCATATGTTAAAGGGAATCGAGAACGATGCAGAGATGGCGGAGAAAAATTAAAATAGCAAGAAATAAGACCAGGACGAAGCACCGATTATTTTGTATTACCTACTTTGGTCAACATATTTTCCTTTTAAGCAACCGTATTTATGAAGTATCGCCCAGTCAGGAGCGTCGATAACGGCAGTTGGACTGTGATCTTGGCACCTACCCTACTAACCTCTCAGTCTCCAGAAGGTGGAAATAAGGCTACTCCAAGACTAAAAATGCTATAGAACACCACCTTTAAGGATATTTCGGAAATTGTAGTACGGAAAACTTGGCCATTCGCACTTATTAGAAGGACCCTAAATGCCAGTAGACGCCGAGAGGAATGTAAAGCGAAGAGACTGGACTCCAGACAGCGTAGGGAGGAGACAACCCATTTAGACTGTAATAAATCCGGAGAAGCGACTATTTAATCGCTCATCATCCATCAGACGAGGATTATCCAGGTCTGGGTATGTACACTAAAATAATTCTGTATCGTACGAAGTCCTTTCACTAGCAGGAACCGTTAAAAGACTCGTCATTCGCTCAAATAGGGCGTAGCACTCTAGCCTCTGCAATGAGATGAAAAATGTCCTACTTTCCCCATTGTGTGACATAGTGGAGAAGCCAGTTTGGGAGGGCGCCACATTCTGAACACACTTTTTGTTTCCCAAGAGAAGTACTGTTCCCCAAAGACAGGAAAATGACGAAACACAATAAAAGGCTAGTTTGAATGAACAGTGCAAAACCAAGCTCAACTTATAATGGTCAGAACTCCTGGTAAATAAAGAGGACTTGAATAATCTTCTGAGGAACAATGCACAGAAATTAGGATTTGTGTACTAATAAGGAATGAAAGAAATGTTAGTGGCCTTCAACTCGGATGGTGCGTTGGTAAACCCGGTTAGCTGTGCATTGAAGAGACTAGATCAGAGTGAAGAATAATGAGCAATGTGAAAGGCCCGTGTCACCACTCGACGTGATACGTCCATCTCCAAAGTCAAAACTACAGAAATGGTGAAGCTATTGATAGCTAGGGATCATGATGAAACAAAGGCACCATAGATTCTCTGCGTTATTTTCAAAATAACCCATCCAAAATTCAAACTCTTCTAAAGAAGAGCGAGAAACTGCATCAAAAAACGCGTGATTTAATCGTATTTCTATTATCGCTTCATAAACTGTCATCCGCTGACAGTCAGCGCGAATTGAAATGCCCGTAAATTGGTTGGCTACTGGTTGGTGGGGAAAAGATGGCACGAAAAAGGTCCACAAACCTCATATGAACCCGACTTGATTTGGTTGTAGAGCCTGTTCTGATCATCGTCCCAGAATGGTGGATAGCCGACCAGGAGAATGTAGAGAATAACACCTTGAAAAGTCAAGAAAAGAGTCATTACGTTTTAAAGACTACAGGCTAATGGAAAGTTGCGCCCTCTAGTGCTACTAATAGGCGAGGAGACACTAGGCGCTTTATCATGATAGGAGGCTACCCGTTTCGTGATATTAAACGCATCTAAAAATAAACCCAGTGATAAAATCAAGGTGAGGACTCAATTTCGGTAAGAAAGAAAGCTTGTTCCATCAGGCAAGAAATAATGTTGTGTCTCAAGTAGTACCACCTATTAGAAGTGCCACTTCTTTTCCCACCAGATGCACCAAGTAATCGACTTCTGGTGCAATTTCCCAAAGCGCCAGCAGGGGTGTTGGGTGGCGATGAGACGGCTGGAAATCGCAAACGCCCTTGGGTACCAAATAAGCGGATGACGCAAACATGAGTGCCTTCAAATTTCGAAGGCAACTCACTTAATTCCCATTATTTATAAGTTAAGTTGCCTATTGTTGAACCAACGTCAGACGATTTTGCTCAATGACTACTAGCACTGAAGGGCGCCACACTGTACTGAATGCCCTCATTCTTGATGCATTTGTTCCTTTTCTTCATTCATTTAGTGTAGCAACGTGTTCGTAAAGCAAGCAAAGAGTGAAATCGGAATTCAACTCAAGTTAATTCCAGAAAGAACGCCTGTCTCGAAGGTTTGAATTCAAAAAAGACGTTGAGCAAACGAAAACGGGTAAAATGTGATGTGCAATGAACGTTTGCTCGAAAACGTGGCACATCCCTATGTGCATGGTTACTGAACTGAATTGAGAACTAAATGCGAATGCATTCGCGAGTTTTCAATTAAGTGCCGAATAACAAAACGGAGTGGTGATTTGCCAATTCCAATAGCTATTGTGGCCCATTTTGAAGCAGAAAATCTAGAGACCCCATACCACTAAAAAGAATCCTCGATTGGTTATTTAAAAGTACAAAAACAATAAGAGAGAAAGAACGACACTAACCACAAGCCCAAATGTCCACGGGTTTGCCATACGGCTCCTTTCGAAGGACCTCCGGTGAGAGATATCCCGGAGTTCCAGCAAAACCTAAACAAAAAAACACCAAGCGATAGAGGCACCAAACTGGTTGACACCGACCGACCGATCAAACTATTACCCACCCACACGAGTATCATCGTTGGTTCAGTTTCGGGAAGGGAATGGGATTCCAGATAATGATGACCCAAAAATAATAACCTCTTCACTTGTAGTGCGGTAAATTTTTGCAAAAAAAACAAAGGCTTCGACACTGCGTTCGCAATAGGGCTACTGACTAACTGTTTCGAGTCAAGGCTAGGCTGACGTTTACTGCTTTTTCCATCGCCAAAAAAGAGGAACCTGTTGATGCGTTGAAGCTGAAATGGAGATGGCTATTCCTTTTTCTGAGACGGCGATTGCAAAAACCCGGCTTTTTAAGTACTTTTCCAAAATTTTAAGTCCGTCTCGAAGAGCCGCTAAAACCCAGATGAACGACTGAATAAATGGGGGTGATAAAGATGAAAGTAACGGAGGGGTGAGTGAAGCATCCCAAAAAACAAGGCATTTATGAAAAACCGCCTGACAAAGTTAATGGGTAGTCTGAAAACTCTAAATTGTGGCTTGAAGATCATATACAAGAAAATGAGACTGATGCAATTGTAACAGTTTAAATGAATTACATTTGCCTTAATCGCAGACACAAATACATGGGCCTTTTGGATAACAATCATACCGCCTACACAACCAGCCTCTTAGATCTTTCGTATGAGTGTAACAAATCTACTTTCAGACTCGTTGATCTTGGCGGCAAGTCTTTTGAAACGATCCACAATTCAATTTGGCTAATGAACAAGGGCGATTGCCAGACCACCCATCCGGCACTTGCTAGCCGATAAATTGACGCGTTCACTTGCTGGTAATGGTAACCGAACTTTTTATTTTTTTTTAGTTGGAAAGACGCGAAAAAGTCACGTCGAAATGATGCCGCCGAGGTGGCATGTACGTGCATGCACGCATAGACGCACACCAGTAGCCCCCAAATGGTCGACCGGTGTGGACAAATCGGAGAGGAGGAGGGGAAAACACATTCACAGGATTGTAAAAACATTGTGCTGGTACGAGAATACCCAAGTCAAGACACTTTATCATAGTGTTCGCAGACGTCCTGGCCAAAACAGGACCCTATTAGTGATCACGTGGAGCCAGAAGGGAGTTCCAACTACCACAAAGTAAGGAGACCTATCAAATGTTTGGTCCCACCAACTTGGAACTAATGTTCTAGCACTCTCTCATCACTCCAATTAAATGGCGCCAAAAGTAGTCAAATGAAGGCAAGAACATCCACAATGCCAATGATTGGCAAGCAAAGAATCTAGTTAACACCAAAGCCGTTCATGAACTCCAGGATTATTCATTCGGTCGATTCTCAAGGCTGGTAAAATAATGTCGAAATCCCTTTGTGTGAACTATAGGCGGATCGAGGAAAAAATTCTACCTCGGGAAGCTCTCACTGGAGCCAGATGTAGATCCAACATTTGAAACCAAAAAACTCATGAAAAATATAACGTTTCAAAGGTGGGTTGTGACGTTGATGAACCGACAGCATTGGTTTGTATGAAAATTAAGAGGAAATCAAGTGATTTGAGAATAAGAGGAACGATTACACAAACTTTCAACCTCTACTCCCATATTACTGGTAAACGTCGAATTCCAATCAGCGACGATTTCGACTTAGGAAATGTCAAGATGGCAGATATTGTGGACATTTCCATTCCAACTGTAGGAGAATCAGAGCTATAGAAATCCTCCAATCACTGCAATTCTCCACCTTAACAGAACATTGCCAAAAGGACAATCTCAACAAGGGCATACACTGGGCGAGCAACTATCGTCGTTTCCATCGAATAGCTATCCAGCCATCTTACGTAGTTCTCATATTTATGCACAAGAAACAACTCGTGAGTTCTTGGCACTTCTAACGTCGCTCTTTGGATATGAAAACAGACGATGATTTGGCACATTCAAATCACCCCATGCCTCTTAGTAATTAGGATTTTGCAGTAGACTAGGTGCAGTTGTGACGGTATTGTCTGAAGTGGAGGTAGTCATGGGAATAATATTCACCCAAGAAGCATCTCCCAGCCAATTCGTATTAAAAGCCCTGATTTGAACTCAATGCTGCTACAATATTATATGAATGCGCCTGATTATATGAGCATTTGCATAGGCGGAGTTCAGCTTAATGTCGGCTAAATGACCCCGTAGGAAGTAGTTGATATTGGAACCCGAACGGACCACGTCATCTGGACGATATGAACCAACCAGCCGGAATTAGCGATGAAGAATAACTTCCGTGCGTATGATCTAGGACAAACGGTTTTCAACAGGCCGCCGTTGCTGCTGCAAACAGTGTTTCGATCAGCATATATCATTCCACGCGAGCTTCCGGTTTGGCATGTCACGACCACCACACCGACTGAACATTGTTACACCTCCGTCCCGCTCTGCTGCTACAATGAAGTTTCTAGACTTTCGCGACCTGCAAGATCTTCAGAAGTTAATCTGACGCCAAAACGACTCCAGAGTATCCAGTTCGAGCAGTCTATAACCAAAAGCCCTTGCACCGAAAGTAAGACGATGCCAACTTTTTGCTGTGAATATCTAACCTCATAAAGTTGTGCTAGATAATATCGAAGTAATACTATGATTAGATTACCATCATACGTTATAGGCACGAGGTAAGCCCGTCCCGGAATGAATAAAAGGGAAGAGCTATTGCCTGAGACTTTTAAGAGCGGGTGGAATTCAAAGACCCTCCCTCAAAAGCAACTATTGAAATATTTAAACGGGATTTTCGTGGTTTGTTCACTGAAATGAATTATCTTAAACAATGCCCCTACATATTACTTTCCGTTGATAAACATTAAATCACCCTTCAGTGCTGCCTGCTCAAAATTTTTGACATGGAAAAGCCACATACACACACACCTAAAAGTACAGAAGTGTGAACGGAATTGCTCCCAGTGGGTTCTTCAATGTTATCGCACACACGACCTCACCAGCCGTCCCCTCTCCTGATCGTAATATGACCTCAACTGACCTCCACCAGTTCGCCCACACAAGAAATCAATTCAAAACGAACTGGAGCGCAATTTGACGGCAAGTGGGATTAGAGGGTGCGTACGACCCCAAGAGATCCCAATTCCGCATTTGAGCTGTTTCTCCAAACCAAACCCAACTCTCCTGGTTGGCCAAAGTAGAAAATGGACAGAACATGACATGAAGAGAATGCTTGAACGAAAGTGAAGCCCTATTCAATGACTTCGCAAAATGAATGGCAAGTGTGGGGAAGAGGAGATGCAAAAGTGAAGAAGGCCTCCATTGGACGCGACGGCGCTAACACCAAATGGCAGTCTCGAGTGTAAGAATAACGGAGATGCAATTATCCCATGATGAGAATCGGAGCCGTTGGCTCAAAAGCTCAAGAACACTTTGCGGTTCATTTAATGTGGCAGCTGAGGACGGCCGCCCCACCACTCTCAACCCCTAAATGATTCAGACTACCCACAAAAGATCAACCTCGCTACACTACAGCCCACTGTCCACTTTGGCTTGTTCACCTACCGCAAGCGTCGTCTACAAAAAAATACCCATAAGAACTTCACATTTCCAACTTCTAAAATGAGTCAATTGAAGCGTTGGTATTGGTTGGTTGTTCACAAGGTCATGGAATGGTGAAACTGTGACAAAACGACAAAGTTATGACAGAACGGCATTTGGTTGAATTATTGCGCAATCTTGGCCCCCTCTATTTGTCCAACTAGGCTCTCAGGTCTTCCATACATTTGATAATAAAAGTGCGCCTCCGAAGGGCACCTCAGGAGCTAAATTGACGACAATTTTTGTGAAAAATACAACAGCTTCCGCCGATTCTTCATGTTGAACTTAAATCCAAACAAACTAGCTGTTTGCTGACATGTAAATATGCTAGAATAAGGGGGTCTACTGCGGGTAACTGATTTTCATATCAAAGGGGCTAGGAAAAGTGCCCTAATTTGAAAGTCAACAAGACGGTGAGTGGTATGAAAATAGCTTCGCACTTAGGCAAAACATACTCAGGAATCAACGAAATATGAAAGATGGGCAAAATTGGTAGGCACCCCGGACTCAATATCACGTATTTGTAATACTTAATAACTGAGGCACACGTGATTTGTGGGCACCAGAATCAACTGGGACTGTATTTGTGGGTTAACTAGGAGGAGGAGGAGGGGGGAAGAAATCTTGAAATCGCAAGGGGTAATCATGCTCCTGCTACTGTTAACAATGCGTGCACTAGCTCAACTTTTCGGCTAACAGATATCCGGTCAAATTGGCCTCAGAGTGATCTAAAGATGGTTCATGAAAAAGACTTACCGAACCAGGCGAATTGGTCACCCTGTACCTCAATGGCCAGTCCGAAATCTGCCAATTTCACGGCAGCGCCGCGGGTCTTGCTGGCAAGTAATAGGTTCTCCGGCTGAGGGATGGAATAGAAAAGGGGGAGAGTTGCTTAGACAGTGTGCAAATTTTAGGTGGACGAAGAGGTAGTTTGAGAACTACGCCTATAGGAGTTAGAGCTGGTACGTGGTGACATTTTTCTTGGGTTCTGCCGTACTGCTCACATGCACACGCAGATGCATTGTTGAATCAGGGAAGGTTAAGTCACGCACCCACTCAGACGAACAAGCGGTAAGTGAATTAGTGAACCACCAGAACCGTGTGAGAACAAAGAGAAGACCGACAATTGATAGCGATTCTGGTAGCGCATGGGATGGAAAAAGCGATGTTAGAAATCTAGTTTTGAGTAAGAAAGCCACTAAAGAGTTGACCGACTCCCCAGTCAGCATAATAAAGCACTTTCCGCCATATCATGATTCAAATGAAGAATGGGAAAACTGCGAATTGACGCTGTAATTCAAGGATGGCTGGTGTGTTGTGTTTGACATCGTGCAGTTTTCCAGTCACCCACATAGCTCTGCCCGGTACAGTCCTTAGAGGATGACATATCGTGCTTTGTACCGTTGTTTACAGCAAACGCGTTGCCACTTTAAACGGTGGTAAAATTCGAGGCGACACGAAATCTTCTACGCATTATCAAAGTGATGAAAATCAGCCACGAGGAGACCCCATAAACGCTTTACCAGCACAGCTGTTAAATGAGAAACGCTTAGAGGTAGTCAAGGCAACAATGACAATGACACTATTTTGAGAAGGCCGTAATTACTTTAATTACACAATTTAGGCCTTGGTCATTACTGATACCAACTTCTGTTATACTTGCCAGTGAAGGAAGTGACTAGGCATCGATAGAGGAACCGGATTCTAATAAATTAATTCACTAACTTATTAAAATTTCGGCCATCCATTAGCTGCAATACCAAAAGGTGCCATTGCCCAGATTTAGCAATCGACGTGGAAACGATCGGCGAGGGGAGAAAGCTCCCTTTCGCGAAAAATCAGGAAACCAATGCTAAACCGTACATTTATTGTCAAGGTCACGAGTAGAAATTCGAGGCACAAGTGTTGCTATAATAAGAAAAGTAGAAAAACTACTTATACAGCGTCTACAAGGAAAGAGATTCAAGACTGTTGCGAAGGGCTATCTACGAGGTGACAGATTTATCAATAAAAAGACAACATTTAAGTAGCGTATTTGCGGATTTAGAAGTAGAAGCCAGTATGGAAAAGGTTTATATCAGTTAGACATTTCCTGAAAGCAAATAATAGGAAAGAGCGTTAGTGATCACCTTATTTTTAGTGTCAAAGAAAGAGGTTAGAAGGGATTTGAGGTATTAGCACGGCGTCAGCTTTAACTTTTCCGGTTCCACAAATGGATGGGCGGGGCTTCCGCGTTTGTACAAATCAATCAAATAACACCTTTTAATTAATCCGTGGAGTTAACTAACCGACCGAGCGTCGGCGGTTCCACCAGAACTTGCTATTCTGCAAGGAGGATTGAACAACTCTCCTGATCGATAAAGAACGCTTTATCGGTGAAGATATTGATTTTGAGTAAAGCGAGAAGCGCAGCGATGAGCTGTGTTCATCGAAAAAAAAACTCAATGTAAGGGAATCGTAATATGTTGATAGCGCAAAGTATATTCCCATAATGAATTAACTTATCACCAAAATAATTAGAAAGAACATTTTGTAGAGTGGAGAAAAAATATGGAAAAAATTCCCATCAATACATAACTGGTGTAATTGGCTAATTAAAAAAGCGCATTTTCACCGAGAGCAGTCATTTAGTTAAAAAATACGAATATGGCGTCAAAAATGGTTGAGAGTTAGAACAACTAAATCATGTTACAACTACCCTTAAAAAGGTAGAGGTTAATTTGCGAATATGCTCTCCCTACGCAAAAAAGGCTGCAAGTGATTATCTTAGGAAGCGAAACAGAGCCAGTTCAACTTTTGATTGACCTCGCACCTGCATCAAGTATTTGGAATAGAATTTCAGCATTAAAAAGGCTCTAACCGTGGTTCACTCAAAGGGGAATAAAATGCCATAAGACTGGGTAGTTTAAAGCAGTCACATGTGCACACACGAGACAGAGAACTCAACATATGAGATCAAAATAAGAAAGTGAAAATCTCTTGAAAAAAGAAGCATCGCAATAAACAGTGTGAAATTTCCGTGAAAAGGGTTGTGGAAATCCTTTGAGGTTAGAAGTTGCAGCAGACAGCGAGGCCAGGACAACACCAAGGAGCATGCAAACAAGGGAGGGGTTCTAATTCCTCAGTGTTAGACAAAATTTTATGCACGTAAAGCATGATGCTGATTTAGGGGTGAGCATGCAACTCAACCAACCTTGAGATCCCGATGGACAATATTATTTTGATGGCAATAGTTGACGCTCTCAAGAATCTGCTTCATGCAGTTGCTAAAGGCAAGGAGTGTGAAGTGAGTCCACCATTGCGCATGCCTTTTCCAACGCTAAATCATTTGATGTGGCATGAACCGAAGCTGCTACCGTTAAAATCTTTATTTCTGTCTACTTCTCAGTATGAATGGTGAAACTTGAAAAAATGGAACTTATCTGGATAGACAAAAGATGGAAATGAGAATTACAGCATACCTGGCGTCTGCCTCACTGTAGTATTCCCTAGCAACGATGTCCTCAAAGAGTTCCCCACCCGTTACACTGAAAAAAGCAGTCAGAGTAATTACTCGCCGCATCAACCATAATTGAGTGAATTAAGCGGACAAACGTACAGATCAAAGACGAGGTAATGGTGATTTTCATCCTGAATTGAATCATGCAGCCGAACTGTTTTCCAAAAAAGGGAAAAGTACATACTTAAACTGGAGCAAAAATATTGACTGAGTCATACAAAATTAGGTATTATTCAGACAAAATATGCCATAAAGCTAAAGAATCTGGAAAATCACCAATATTAGGATGCTTGAGACGTCGACAAATGCGAGCTTCCCGTTCAAGTTTTTGCATATCTAAAGAAAAATAATTTGCTTTCGTTACGAACGCTATGATAGGTGAGAAGAGAAACATACATGAAGTAAAAATCCCAGATACTATGCAGAGTCACGCAAAGAAGAATAGAATCTCCACATCCACGTCTTCACGTGTAAATATGCAGTGTGAAAGACCGTAGACCAATGCAGCTGATCGATATACGATGGGAGCAGTTTAAAATAACTTAGAGTATAAAAGGCATAAATGTTAAGGAACATTAAATGCACTTTGATACGCAGGAGTGAAAGCGATCAGAAATTTAACGAGTCTTAAAAGCATCAAATCCGGTGCAAAAACTGAGAAAGTACCAGAGGAATTCAGAACAAGAAGATAGAAATCTTCCGATGAGTAGAAGGAGAAATACCAGAGGGGTATATTAGGCGAGTAAAGAGATGCATAAGCTAAAATATCTATAAATCAAACATTACCGCGGGTAGCAAGCCGTTTAGTGCTAATTATTTTGGCAGCGAATTCGAGATTGGTTGATATTTGTATGCATCTTCTCACAACAGAAAAGGCTCCACTAAAAATTGCATAAGTATTAAGTTCGTAGAAAATACCGTCCCAATTCTTCTTTTAATTCATAAAGACTAGCAAAATCAGGCGAACCCTGAGCAGCCATCTTTGCACGACAAAATTGAAAGCGCCACTGTTACAAAGGCCCATTAAATCACGAACTCAAGGTCATTAAAATTTCTGTGTTGAGTAAACCTAGAAAAAGCTTCTAGGCAAAATATTACTAGTCATATATGTTAATTTTCCGCAGAAAAACGTTTTGTACACTTTTTAGTCATCTTGAGTGATTTAGTCAGTCATTTAAGATTATGTCCAATCATTGATTATTATAGAAGTTAATTGTTTTTGTTTTGCCACTCTTCTACTGGACTTTCAACTCTGTTTCTAGTAATTAAATGAGTTGACCTTGTTTTGAAGGGATCTTTTGGCTGCTTTAGCACTCACAAATTAATGAATGTCAAGGTTATCTTCATCTTTAAAAGATTTTGTTACATCCTATGCGGGCCTATGATCTGAGAGTTATGTAGCGTCCCCAGACTTCCCTGACGACAAAAGAAGACACAATACTTGGGCAGAATACATATATTCAGCAAAGGGAAGGTGTCTGGGTCACTGGCATGGCCGGGAGGATAGCCTACCTAGCGAGGTAGAGGAAGGCAAATTCAAAAGTACATAGGTGACGCCTCACCAATACCAAGGGATAAACCACCATCGTATTACAGTTGCTACTGGTGGATGCGCCATCATCAAACATGCTGTTGAAAAATAATCAAGAACTCTTATCATTATTATTTCGCTAACAACTTCTCTAAAAGAATGATCTTTTAAAGTTCTCTGGTGGTTTGGATGCAGTCTATGAGGGCGTGGTGCAATATCACGCGATGAGTGATCACAGGAGAGATGGCTCACACCTCATTGGTTAAGACGTTGTATTGAGGTTAACGTAGCTGGCTTTACTGGGTCAACTTTCGCCCATTGGCACATTTTGTGCGAAGGTCTCATATGTCGAAAGAGCTTTGGAACACTTCTTTTGCAGCGATGTAACGAATGAAAAAGCGACCTACTGTCACGGCATCTAGCACAAGCAACACTTTAATCGAATTGCTACGTGCTTATAGCATTTGAAAATGGTAACAACACTATAGTGTGTCTAAGTCACCATTTACAAGTGAATTAATTTACTACGGCTTATTTACTACCATGGTCAATCTCATTTAACAGATTCTCATTGTTTTCAATTCTTAATAAGTCAAAGTAGTGCAGAAAACCATTAATGGCTTGCAGGAAGGCTGAGGGCTACTGGTATATACTGAAGACCGAGTGGAAGAGCGGTGGCTAGATCTGCGGGGACTCAAGCAGCCCTGTGGTTGTACACAGCTAGCCAAGACTTCGAACCCGTACTTAGGCCCTCTCTTCTTCAGAGAGTCGTCCTCGGTGCTTCTCCTGATCAACCCCTGCGTCGGCCATCGCGACACAGTTGGTGCTTCAAAAAGAAACCATGAACCGGGAAAAGGAGCAGTTGAAGTTTCTTTCAAGTGAGGAGGCATTTGATCCTAACGTCTTTGATGTGTCTAGGTGGAGTTGCGTCCCATTTGACGCCCACTGCTTTCATACTGCTGAAGAGCGTGTGAGGGCATCCCGCTGCATGCCGAACGCTAGTCGTGAGGAAACTGATTTAAAGGTAGAGCTCTCAGACGAGAGACAAGATTTAAAACAGCTTCAAGGGGCCAATGTGCCGTGTCTATTCCACTTTACTACTTTGTTTTCATTTCGGTGCTGTCCAGCCGTCTGTCTCTCTACTTGCTTATCAATTTATCTACCTACCTATCTGTTTGTCTTTATGCCCATCCACTTGGGTTGCCCGTGTGCGTAATTAACAAATTCATATAGGTGGCGTGGCGAGCTGCGTACTGGACTTTTTCACGTGTTCGAGTGTACTAGTGTCGCTTCAGTTGTTGACGGCCTTCATGTAGAAGGCGGAATTGGGGTATTTGTCAAATGCAGACATCGTTTTTGCTCCTTTTGCTGGGAGTCTTCTCAGGCTGACCATCCGTCTGTGACAGGTGGCCTCCTTCTGTGTCCTTAAGGTCTGGTCTTCGGCTGTGGAAATTGAGTCCCTTCTCTCCTCTCCTGGCTGGAGTCGCAGTAGGCCCAAGTAGTATGGAAAAGCCCCCATTACTAACGCAGAGTAGATGAGAGTTTCTAGGCGATTAGCGTGGTCCAAAGGCCTTAAAAAACACCACAAAAATGAAGGGCTGATTGGTAACCGGAGGGAGTAGTCATGATGCGAAGGCTAATCACGTCCACTTCGCATTGAGACCCGCTCATTTCCATTTCGTCTTAGATTTACCATTGCTATTTCGGTCCTGCCCTGTCGAACAAATTGTGGGATGAGATGAAATTTGGACTATTTGGGACTTAAATTTATTTTATTTTTCTGCTAGGAACAAAGTGTCTTAATAGCATGACTGGAAAAAAGACAATGATTCAAGTATGATAAGATTTTATTCCAGAGGCAGCGTAAACAAGTGAGGTGCACTCTGCCAAAATTTGTTGCAAAATACACCGCTCACTCCGAATCGCGGTTTGCATACGTCCTGTTTTAATGATGTGGCATTTGAATTTAACACCCCCGCTACTCTAGAGGAGCGAGAGGAAGTGCTGACGGCGGAATCAAATCCCCATAGAGGAGCCCTTAGGATGAATACGAATCTTCACACCCTCCAGGTCGTGATGTCATTCAAAAATCAATCACCTATACTTTGACAATAGACCAGGGAAGAGCTTTCGTTGCCAGTTTTACCTTCTCTCCATCGAAGGGAATACAAGACAGACAACCTTAGCCTTCTTCCACTGCTGTTACTTTACCCAGCATTGTACCTCTCCGCCTTGTAAACTCCGACAAACTACACACAGGCAAAAACCACTTTCAATGAATAATGGAAACAAGAACCGGTGATCCAATGAACTGGGGCATGCGATATGAAGAAGGCCATGGTGTTGACCTATGCGTTGCTGCATATTTTCACCTCATTGTGAAACCAAATGGGCCACCATCGTTTACTTGACTCAGTGTGCAAACACCGGAACAGTGTTGCTCCACAGCTACTAATGAAAAGCTAATGAGTTGAGTAGCCTCCGAAGTTATGCAATACAGAATGGCCTCTATCCCTCTGGCACTGCCGCACAACCATCCTTCAAACTCACCTGACACTACACGCACGCACGCACGCGCTGGCAGGGTTGAAGGCACAAAGTAAACATCACCTGAGCGCGTCACCCGACAAAGCGATCTCACAGCACACCACGCGGCGGATGGATGCAAAATTACCGGTGGTACAAGCGCAGCACTGACGTTTCTCCTCTCTCCGAGCCTTCGCGAAGAGGCTGAGCTGATGTTGCCAGCCTGAGTGAGGGAGGGATGGGGTAGGGTGGGGAGCCAGTGACTCACCGCTTTGTGGTTGATTAGTCAGGCCCGTTGCTGGATGACAATTATGTGATGTGTCACACAGAGAAAAGCTGGGCTGAATTCCGGCCCACAAAGCAGCGATATTGACATGCTCCAGAGTGTGCCACAACGGCACAAACGCACGAGACAGGCGGTTGTGGCCAGCTCAGCTTCCTTTGTTGGCGGTGGAGGGACGTAAGCTGGTATGGAAAAAGTGAATAAAATTGTGGAAAAAGCTATCCGTGCTGCACTCTAGTCGTGGTTCGTGGTATTGAAGCACCGATTGATTTCACTCGGGATTCAGCATAGCATAGGGGAACATGAAGTGTTTCTGCTCCCTCAAACATCCGCACCTGACGCCCTCGCTGAGAGTTTACTGGCGAAGTAGCGTTCAACCTGAAGAAGCAAACTTGACTTCAGCCCTGGAAACTCCCGGACAAATTTCTCCTCATGATTAAGAGGGTCAAGTAGCATGTCACATGTCACTTAGTTGCCACGTTTAATCCTGTGAAATGCCCATTCATTTCAGCTGATGACGCCATTGCACCTCAAGAATGCATTCCGTGGCGCTGCACGGATCCCGACGAACCATGTGCAGTCACACGACTCCAAAGACCTCCATTATACGTGTAGGGAGGGAGACCGCACATCCACTTGAGGACAAACGACCTACCAAAAATGTGAGCACCCGAACGCTAAACCCCGTGAGCATATAAATCACTCAATGTTGTTGGTAAAGAACTTAAATTCACCCAATAAGCAACAAACTACATCTGATTGAGCCATTAGAAACGATAGACGCGCGTCTACGAGTCCAAGTAATCCATTCTAGTTCCTGCTGTAAACGATGTTATCCTGGTGAAGAACCGACTTACAGACCAGGAGTGGAATCGGAGAGGACTAAACATCAAAAACAAAACCTTGAACGAGCACACCGGCCACAGGTAGGGCAAAGGTAACCTCTAGGTTCGGACCGGGTTAAGCAAAAACTCCCCACAGCAGAAACACCAACATAACCAAACTCACTGAAGAACAGAGCCAAACTGTAAAGAACTAATTGTTATAAGATAGCAAAAGGGAGTCCGACTACTCAGAAAGCGCTGAAAGTACAGAGAAGGCAATTAATCGGTTTCGGGGTTGGTAGAAGAATGTGCCTATTACAGAACAGATGGTAGGTAGCAGTTAGTAAACCATCCTCAAAACAGTGACAACTCGGCGAAGGGATCAAAACATATCAGTTACTTTCCTCTGAGCACCAAAGATGACACCAGACTGATTGGCACCC